CCACAACACTTTACAACAATTCTAAACAGATTCTAATTCAATGAACCCAAAGGCTTTTCATCCCAAACATTCTCCTACCTGCATCTGATTTCTCTTCCTTCCGGATTCATCAGTTTTTTGATCGGAACTCATGATCGTCGGTCAACTACGATGATAAGATGGTGAGAGAAATCTGGATGGTCTTCCCTTGGGTGTAGGATCCTATCCTAGGGCCTAACCAGTCCCCTCATCATAGACTGTAATGAAATTTAGATGACAGAAGGCAACATGGGACAGGATGGGATGGGAACCCATATGTGCATTCTGACTTCTGAGCATCAGCAAAGTCGCTGTCTGGAAAATGGCAAAGGCAGAGATCTCCAAGAAGTGCAGATTTTGACTTAGGGATGACAAATCTACCAAACCTAGGAAAACAACAACAGAGTTCACCATCCCCACAATTTTCCTTGGAGACTGAGAACAACTTTCTGTCACTTACAAAAATCAGCCTGTCCTAAACAAATCTAGCTGTCCTAGTGGATTCAAATCCATGTAATGCATGACACAATGCAAAAGAATTAATATTTTTCCCATTTTCACCAATGAGCAGAGATTTTATCTGCTTTACATTCTGTATGAACTCTTGAGAAACAGATTTCCAACTGAATAAGAGCAAACAAAAGAAAAACTTTTGAATTTTCTGGAAGCATTTGTCAATGCAACAATATGAAATCCAATCAAGAACAACTTATGGAGCAATTCCAAGCCTGGGTTCGAAACAAAAACCAGTGAAGAGCTGAAGTGGGAACCTTTTCGACACAGGACACTTTTGCGACCATTTCCATTGTTTCAGGTTCATGTCAAAAACAAGAAGAGCTGGAGCTCCGTAGCTTTGGATGTATATCAGGTCATCAGTGCCACTGCTAGCAAATACATCATCAAACTCACCGAATCCTTGGAAATACTTGTGGGGCATTCTGGCAACCTCCTGCCAATCCTTCCCATTAAGAATCCATATCCCAATTCCTTTGATAATGTCAGGTCGATCTTGCCTCCCAATTCCTCCCACCATCACCAGCTTTTCCTTCAGATTCATCAGACGGCCACACGTAAGAGGGACGGGTACTGGAATAACACTCCTTATCAGTGGGGGAGATCGGCCAGAGAGATTATACATAATTAGACCATGGCGATTTTCTGGCCTGCCACCTCCTGTTGAGTAAATTAGAAAGTATAAGACCCCGTCACAGATCACACTCTCATCCCCGCCTCTCCACCCTGTCAAGACCTCCGTCAAAGAAGTCATCCACATCATTGTTTCTGAATCATAAACATGAATCGAAAGGTCCCATTGGAAAAAATTCCCAGGAACTTGCTTAGACTTTACAATGGAGATAGTATAATTATGTGAAGTCCTGTTCACTGAGATAGCCAATGCACTGTAATCAGAAAATTTCAGACCTGGAGGCTCCTCAAGCTTCTTGCAGAGTCTTGTGATGGGGTTGCACATGAACAGCTCACTTCTACTGTCATTGTCCATGAGACAAACCAAACCACAAGAGGAGGAAATAAACCAGCTTGGTGTTTTGATGCAAGGGAGATCAATGCCGTACCACTTTCGGAGGTTGGGGTCATAGGCATAACCAACTGGTTCATCAGAGCTTGTAAACATAAAGTACCAAGGTTTCTGTGATAAGACATGGGAAAAGTTCCATAAAAACCTCCGTGAGCTGACAATGTCATGCCATCTTTTGCACACAGAACCAGCTCTGAAAATGCTTACAATGGGAAGATAAGCTAAGATTCGTTCCAACAAGTCATCAGGTATTAAGTCCACAGAAACTGCAGTAGCATCTTTCTTGCTGTCATCACTAAGCCTTGAGAATGTATCAAACTTGCTGATGTCTTTTGAAATGTCATCAAGGCAATGGCTGATCCATGAACTTTCTCCCTCCATGACCACAAGGAGTGACGAAAATTTTCTGAGATTAGACAAAGAATGAAAATTTCTAAGAACTTATCTTGCCACCAAACAAGAAACATTCAATGTTTGTCACCTCAGAGTGCAATAAATTAAGATGAAATATGAAATCCAAGGCAATCCTAATACAAGTGAAGGCACCTAAGGATATCCCACAAATGTTGCATATGACAAATGAATAACAGTGTCACAAAATAAAGGAGAGTAAAATCTACATTTAGAAGATGAGAAAAATATTTTATTAAACAGCATGTTTATTTGACAGCGACCACCAATATCTCCCTTCTCATTTTGGGATACTCCATGGGATTTAAAAAGAAACAATCAATTCTAACATGTAACCAACTCATCCAGCAAGCTCGCAATATGAACAGAAATATATCCGAGAGTTGAAACCCCCTTCAACTGCGTTGTGAAGAAATAGAAAATCTCAATCCCCTTCCCTGCCCTCCAAAGACTGTAGTGCATTAACCACGCCTAAAAATGGACAAATCAGACCAGGTCTCTTATTTCAATCGGACAGGACTCAATAATCAAAACAAAAAAGGAGAAGAAGATCTGTTCTTAGGAATGAGAATGCACAACCTAATACCCTCTTAATAGGAGTGAACTTCATCTAATATGAAACAGATGTTGCCAGGTAATGAACATGACAATAAAAAAAAAAAAAATGAAAATCCAAAATCTCAAGATCTCAAGTTTAAAGAAATAAGATTTAAGAGTTTGAGATTACATTCATGACCCAGAGGAAATAGTATCATAATCTCTCATAAATTGCCCGGACCCAGAGTGAATTTAAAGTCAGCAGATTAAGACAATTAAACAACAACATTCAAGATGAACGGCATGGCCAGAAGAAGATAGAACAAAACTAGGACAACAAAACAAGCACACATTTAATCAAATGCCCGGCCAGAAACAGAGAGTACCAGACCTGGAATTCTAGAGAAAGAGAACACCAAACAGCAAAAATTAATCGGGAATATATAAAAAAATATTTATGGCTCTGAAATCCCATCAGCCAAAATAGACAAGAAATAAAAACTTAGAAATAAAAATCACTAATTTGTTACAGCAAAAGCAGAGAAGCATTTACAAGGGACATCACCAAGACATATAAAGTCGAACACTTTCAACCAGTTTTCTTACCACAATGGGGCTGTGAATCCAAAGCCAGTTCTGTTATTTTCCACGGAAAACAACCTATCATAATTTCGACAGCAAACCCTAAAGGTTTCTGTGACTTAAAAACCAATAAAGTAATGTTAAGTTAGGTAGAGTGTGGAGAAATTAGGCCATGCTTACCTATCAATCAAACATCAAGAACCCCACAAAACTGAAAAGCAACATCTAACAAACTAAACCAACATCATCAGATCGAAGACATGAAAACAGATCGATGAAAAAACATAAAAACAGAGGCTTGGGGAAAATGACTGAAACCCATCATGAACATGGTCACATACCTGTTTAAGGCCGGTTCCAGCGTCACTGACCAAATTGGTGCCGCTAGATTCGGTCAAAGTCTCCAGATTTATGAGGAATGCTTAGAGAAAACGGTTAAAAAGCCATAAACGCAACTTCTAAATGGTGAAAGTGAGCAACCCCCTCTTTAAAGGAAGCATTAAAAGAACATGAAACGGGGTTATATGTAGATATCTTCTTCAAGTTATGCAATGGGGTTTAGTCCAGATTTGGGTCCCAACCAATACTCAAGCCCCTCATTCGGAGAGAAAGAGAGAGAGAAAGAATGAATTAGGAAGAGAAAGAGAAAAATGCGTGTTTCCGTTGCTTTACAAGTTTCCTTTTTGATAAAACAAAAACGACAGGCAGGCAGGGAATGAAGAGAGCAGGCGGTTTCTCCATGGAGCGTGCGTAGATGGTTTAGGCTATAAAGAGGAGCATAGCGAAAGGGAAAGGCGCGTGGACGTTGTCTTGGGCAGCTATGAGTAGGGAACTACTGGGTTTGAGGCTTTGAGCCCCTACCTTTCCTTTTAGCCTTGACGTTGAGGTGTTGTTTAAGCAAGTGTCAAGGGATGGATTTTAACGAGGGGAAAGTAAACATTTTGAGATTTTTTTGTCCTTAGTTTGAAAAAAAAAAAAAACTATATAATGATGTCAGTCTTACTCATCGACCCCTAAAGGTTTTTACTTTTTCTTTAATTTTCCTCTCTTTGGAATCGTTTGCTACATTCCACCTCTGTATTCCATCTTGGTTTCCTTTACTTTTGGTATATACTTTACCAACCAAACAAGGTTCCCAATATGCCACACCACATGGGGTAATCTTTCTTTTTTCTTCCCTTATTTGCTTTAACAATGGAAGGAAAGTACTGCTCATTTCCTTCTCTTTTGGTTTCCCACAGGCACCTTGGCCCTTGCCCTTCTTTAAAAAATCTACCCTAACCATCCATCTAATCACTGTATTTCACCTAAGAAGAAGAAAAGGAAATGGGACTGACATTGAAATGTAGTTGAGGAGATGTAACAAGAGAAGGGAATGGAACATATACTTGAGGATATGCCATCTCATGTTCCACTTATATAAAAACAAAATGGCATACTAATATAAATCAGTACAAGCAAAATAAATTACAAAGACTTGATTATTTTGTTCTAAATGGGGTAGTGTGTGGAGCCTCATATGACCCTAGAAAGTAAGAGAAAATGGGTGAATCGACAAAGCAAAGGATTAGATCATAAGCAGCATATGTGGGCATTGACCTTAACATCTGGCAACACTGTCGAATTGGACTAAAGAGGAAGGGAAAAGGGTTTGGTTTTTAGTGGTGGCAGCTCCACTATAGGCTGCTAGCACCCCTTTCCAGCCAAGCCATCTTCTTTGTGCACATTAAAGTCATTTCTCACTTGCAATAGTTTAATGCCCCATATTATTGATCAATGTCAGTTTCTTTGTCTGGTTTGGTGTATATTTTGTTTAGGGGAAGAAGAAAATAAAACCCACCAAATACCTCAAAACGTGAATCATAGAGAGGACAGCACAATTGGAGGTGTTAACCAAACACATTGAAAATGATGTTTTAAAAGAACTTAGCTAACGGAGGATTTCAGATCCAGTCATGCTTTAGAGCCAATTACCTATCATATGTTTGTAGAGTGAATATCTAGTAAAGTTAAATGAAGGTTAAAGAATTAATTTTAATTATTAATTAATACATTAATACATCTCTTTACATGTAAATTCATTGAATTTAAACGTTTAAATTAACATGTAAGACTCCAAAAATTAAAATGCAAGTGAAATGAAAGGTCTTACTATTGTAATTTAGATGAATTAATTGGAGCAACAGAGATCATAAGTTGACTTAGCTTGGGGGAACTTTTGAGTTGGTCTGACCATCAAACACTCAAGCATGATGGGAAGAGACACAATCATGGGCCGATGGTGGAGCCAGAGTAGGGCAAGACATAGAAGAAATGGCTTAGAGAATCATTACAAACTCATTAATTGTCATACCAATATGATGATCACAATGAGTGATGATTGAGAAAATGCCTGAGAGGAAAGAAGCAAGGTACTTCTAAATGCTCTTAGTCTTGCCTTTGACATTGAAATTGTCTGTGGGGAAAGAATACGAAGGGCAGTTGTGAAATGTGGAAATTGGAAAACATGTGTCTGTCTTTAGGTGTCTCAATTGTCATGGGATATGTAACATTTTGACAGCTAGGGCTGCGCTAGACCAATAGGTCACTTCCAAATGGTGGGTGGATTTTGAGGGCTATGAATATCTTTGACAAATTTCTTTCTTTTTTTTAATCACCTTTCTCATAACCTATCATCTCATTTTGAAAAAAAAAAAAATGAAGCTTTTCTCAGGAAGAAGGATGGTGGGAAAAGAAAATATCATTACCAATAAATGAATTTTCTTCACTTCTAAGCATACAAGTTTATGATTGGAAGTGGTGGGACAAATTGCTTTTAATTGTTTTGGTTTGTAAGGACATAAAAAATTGGGAATAATAAAATAATGGGCCCTTTGTATGAAATGGAAAATTTATGTACTACTGTTTTGCATTAAACACATTAATTTCCATCACCCAAATGCACGAGCAATCAGTCTGTTTGGGACAGTAGCACCAACGAACTAACGATTGTTTTTTGTTTTTGTTTTTGTTTTTGTGTGTGTGTGTGTGTTTTTTTTTTTGTTTGGTGTTGTTCTTCAATAGGTAAGTGAAGTGGGCTACGCAGCTGAACATACATTTATTTTGGTTTCACCTGAATCTGTAGCTATTAACTAATTCATGTGCGAGTTTCGTTTTTATAAGAGATGAGTTCTAACATGCTTTTCCCCAATTAATATAAATAATTGTGTTACAGGTTCGGAAAGTTCACATCATCTAATTCATCTTGAAATCAAGTTGAAAGATGATGGTACTGAATATTGGTGGACCAAATATTAGTTATAATTAGGTTGTACTATATGTATTTTGAAACTAACTTAAGAAAAAAAAAAATTTTAAGTACATTTCTTACATTAATTGTGTAAATTAATATAAATAAAAACACATAATTTATTGTGTTTTCTGTATTTGGTATCAAACTAATGTAAAAATAATGATGGGGTTAGTTGGAGTAGAGGTGAATATGTATGGATGCAAATAATTGAAATGGTTGTTGGGTGACATGGGGTAATATTTATGACTTATTTAGAGGAAATATAAGGTAGATGAAGGAAACCCAACTAAAAATTTTTCAGTTTCATTAAAAAAAAAAAAA